CTTCACCACTGCCCCCTCCCAGTTAAAGTTTTCGATATTACGTTATAACAACTCTCATTTCATCTTCAACATCCCCCCCCCCCCCATGAAATATTTTTAGATCCACGCATGTTCACTTGAACACATTCTACACATTCCACTCTCCCTAAGTATTTTATTATGACGTCCTGTCTCATTTTCAAGATTATAAGATGAAAGCCTAATTCGTCTAACTTGAAATGGAGCTGTGCAGTTTTAAACTGACGAAAATTACACGCCGCATTTTAGTTTCACGGGGGGGAGGGGGATATTTTCCATTTTCCACTGCATTCTATAGCGGAAAACATGTTCTAACAGAATTACAGAATAATCTCTTCTTCTTCCCAAATAATTATTGTTTTGAAACTTCGTTTATTTATATATATATCATTCAGATATGCCTTTTGAAAACTGAGTTCTGAATACATGGTATATAAAATTTTAGCGGGGAAAAATGGACGTTTTAGCGAAAAATGTGACATTTAAGCGGAAATTAAAATACATACTTACATTCAACAAATTGTTAAGCGCAATATAATTATATCTATGCCTCTTCCGTTAGCCAGTCGGGCTAAGTTTTCTGCCCCCTGGGGGGGGGGGGGGGGGTGCGCAGGCTTAACAATACTATTAATTTCTCAGGATTGTAAAATACAAATCTGTATCTGTATTACATTTCCTCTTCAGAGTTATTATTACAAATGCTGATAAGTGCACTTACCCGATAAATAAAAATGAGCTGAGTTTTATTCAATAGTTTTTAGCCGTGACCTTGAAACCTTTGCTAGAATCGGGATCTTAGAAATTTTAAAGTTCGTCATATTTTGCTGGCATTACATTGACTGTTTAAAAAATAAATTTTATCCGAGAAAAAAAAATCCACAAAATTTTTTACTGAATTATTACAGGAAATTGCTTTTCTTCATATTAAATACTTTATAAATTTTCCGCTGAAATTAATGTCTATTCACACCTTTGCAAGTCCGTTGCCCACACATCTCCTTTTATGTTCATTCACGTAATGTGATTTAATTATATAGTTGGCTTTACAAAAACACAATAGGTGTTTGAAAAAATATATATAAAGATATCAAAATATTATCTAATATTTTTTTTAAATCGTAAATATAATTCATCTATTAGCATTACCAGCTGATCGGGGTGCCCTTTACCTAAAACTCATTTAAAATTGCGGAAGTGACGTACAGCGATTCGCATGAATGCACATTGTATCGAAAGAAGGGAGTCATAAAACAACATGACGGGGTATATCAATGCAAACAAGTTTCACACCTTCGCGTTCTTTTGTTTACAAAGAAACAACATAATTACATATAATTCCATGGATTATAGTATTGGTACATGTATTAAGACCGTATATTGGGACTTCTTCTAAATCGATAGACGTGTAAATCCTGCTGCATCGCATAACCCGTTAAGAGAAAGAAAAAATCCAAATTATTTGTAAATATTAATTATAAATAAAGTTTTTAAAAGGGTGCTTGGATGCCCGGAACGTTTATTATGGCCGGAACCAAACTTACGCGGGCCGGAACGTTTATTATAGCCCGGAACCAATATTATAGGTATTTAGCGTTCCGGCCGGAACGCTAAGTTACCCGGAACGTAAATTATGCGACACCGGTCACACCTGCTGTGTGCTCTTTGTTATGATCTGGTAAACGGAGAAAGTAATCCGTTGTCATTTCAATTCAGTATGAAAATAATAGCCGAACAATTTGTATGAAAGACGTCAGTCAACATTCGACAGATTGTATTTTCAAACAAAGGTCATCGTATCGACCATAGTGTAAAATAGCCTTGCATCATCAACTTGTTTCTCAGTAAACTGCCTCGTTTTAGAAATTTTTCTTACGTTGAACATGTTCCTGCGTATTGCATCAACTATGAGTCATAAACCCTATTTGACAGGTGAAATAGTATATTGCTATATAAATAGCGGAAGTTGACGACAAAACGTAGAGGTCATCGCTTTTATCATAAAGCTTAGCTGTTAGTTTGCCATCAATGTCTTTCTCTATTAAAATATATAAATATGAAGTAAAAATGTGTCGGACTTCGTGTGGCCTTTTATTCTGAGTTCAGTGACACTGGGATATATCGAATTGACGTATAAATGAATATAAATATTGTTAATTGATAAAACGCCATCGATATATCTTAATGTCAAATTGAAGGCCATAGCAAGAGACTTATGTTTCGTAAAAGTACAAAAAGTGTAGTATCTGGGCCCAATTACTATCAATGTGAATTCCAACAGATTTTTGGAAAACCTGATCTCCAAAAATTACATGTACTGCGTAGTATATTGTAAAACATCTTTTTAATATCAACTTCAGAGTACTTGTCTGTAGAATCAGAAAGGCTTAAACAAAGTAAGTTTGCAGATGATCAATGACAAGATAGAAAATTTTGTGAGTTCCATTCTTATCAAAAATGTCTATTATGTTAAAAAGCCTGGTCATTACTTTATCATTTGGAAATGGTTGTGTAAAATGTTAAAAAGTCATACGTTTTGATGTTATTGATTTTTGGTAAATCTCTGTGTTTCAAAAGTTTTTTGGAGTTTTTTAGTATCCGCATTTGATTTGCACCACTTCTCAAAACATTGCAAAGTATCTTGCAAAAGATGTACTCCATCAGGAAGACTAGTACATCTCCATCTGTATGTTGTAGGAGCCACGTAAGATGTTGAAAAATAAATGCGAATGAACTGATAATAAGTGCTGAAAAGTAATGCCATAACGACGTCGGTAACATTCTTGCAGTGCGGCGATAGACGAGACTTGACGTTGTGTTTATTTTTATTTAAGGACCCTCTATACACTAAAGGAAAAGTTTTTTTGACAGTAAGAAAATTATAGTTTGTGAAGGTGTTTGTATTGAGCTTATCTATTACTTTTCCAACATAGGATGCCTTGCATCTACCCCCATGAAAAATATTCAAAGACAATGAAGTACTGATGAACAGAAATCACTGTTGTTTACTTAAGTGGATAAAGTACCTTCAAATGAAGTCTTTAATCTATTTATCTTGGCCTATTAAAATGTTACAAATGCTTGATTTGATCAGAAATTAAGTAACACACTGTACATTTTAATTTATTTTATTCTCAGATTACTCTATCTGCATAAAAATACCATAGAGTCAGAACTTTGTAGTGTGCAGTGTATAGAGGGCTCTTAATATTTATAAAGTTTTTCATATTTTAGGTAAAAATCAAAATAGATATATAGGGGAATTCGTATGCAAAAATTTGATGATAACATTCGATTATTAAAGATTTTATTGCAGTTGTCACATTAAGTTTGGATCAACACTCGTATTTTATTTTCCTCTGGGTGACATTTACTTATTTGCGGTGTACATCACTCCGAAGATGTCCTTTTTTACAACATGAATCAATACTGAATTTCAAACGCACAAACTCGTAAACATATCTTCATTAGTGTTTTGAAATCGGAAGAACCGGGTATGGTAGCCTAATGTATGGGGAGTTCTGTTCGTGAACGGGAGACCCGGCTTCGATTCTCGTTCATCGCGCCGCGTCAAACCTAAGACATGAACATAAGTAGTGACTGTTCCTTCGACAAGCGCCCGACACTAAAAGTGAAAGCCACGGGTCTTTCGGATGGGTCTTTAAAAACCGAGGGTCTGTTTCACGGTAGGCGTTATCACGATTAAAGAACCCTCAATGTTCAATGACCCTGAGTGTCGAGTATAGCTCTAAATTTGGAGCCCTTCACTGGCACACGGTGACATTTCTATGTCAGTGAAAAAATACTCGAATGGGAAGTTAAACAACATACACTGTACTATCAATCAAACCGGAAGATTTTGTAAATCTGATTAACCACTTCTGTCGAGTACCCGGTTACTCGGTTGATTTTCTTTCCGAATTCTTAAAAACCTTGATCAAGGTATACATTCAATTTTTTTTACGAAACAATATTACCTGGTATTTTATTTGATGTTTGTGATTTTCAAAAATATGCCTCTTTGAAACAAAAATCGGAAATGGCAGTTTTGAAGAAAAAATCCTGTCTCTTCATGCGTATATCAAATTCATTCTGTTTCAGGGAGGCAATTTTTCAGAACAATGGGCATTCCCTATTTGAAAAACAGAAAACGAGACTTATTTTGATATGTGACTAGTTTACGCTTCATTTAATGACAAATTAGAAGTCGATATGCAGTTTCTAAATATTGATCTACATTGTGCTGTATATACCGTTGTATCTGAAAAAATAAGACCGTTTTCTGTTACATACTTAAAATTTTTCTTTTAAACTTCAGGGAAAATAACAAAAGAACTGCAACACCCTCTTTTTATTTTCGAATAAATACATACAAAACATAATAAATTGCGTTAAAAGACCATAGTACATAATATATATTAAACATGTTTTGAAATTCGTCACTTCGGCACTGACAATTTGTTTATTGTTGAACAAAATATATTGAAAAACCAATGCCTTCGTTGTCCATAGCGGCATCATATTTAATTCTTTAGGGCTAACTGAACTTGTTCTGGTATCGTCTAAGACAATAATTTGGGTAATTATTACTTGGGTCTTCTAAACTGATAAACAGCTTGGCAATCGAACCCATCAATATTAGATAAACTGTGAAAACGAATAAAAATCAAGTCTACAGTATCGGTAGACCGCTTCTAACTGCATATAAAACCAAGGAACCAGTAAAGTGGTACCTGATAAAAGAAACTAATTATCCTGAGCATTTTTTCCTAAAAATACATAAAACCCAAGTAACCGAGTAGCAGTTTTACTAACCGATACTCGCATCATTTCACGGTTAACCGGTTAATTAGGTACTCGTTGTCAAAACTAATGTTTATCTATTTATATACAATCTCATGTACCGTGGTCGCTATTATAACATCCTCATAAAGAGAATTTTAAGATAAGTATTCCTTGAATGAAATATTAAGTACAAACCCAAGCTTTGACTGTGACTGATTAGAAACTGAGATTCTCCGTCTGTCCTTGGTTCAGCTAACTTTGTATGAAACTGTTGGCAGGTAGCCTGTAGTTAGTTTTAGGTAACTTAAGTATTTTTTCCAAAACAAGAGGCCCAAGGGCATTAACGGTCACCTGAGTATAATGTAACACTGTAAAGGATCCACAGATGGAATATAACATTAAACAAAATAAGCTGATAAATGAAGCTATTTTGCCAAAAGCAAGAGAAATAGGATGATCAGGGATCAGCAAAATAATTTATTTAGTGCTCAGTAACAAATTTTAAAGTTGTTTTATTTACTTGCCTTTACTTGACCCCATTTGTCACTATCCCCACGCGGATTGAACAAAATAATTGTTCTTTGGCACTATTAGTAAACCCATTTCATTCCCTCTCACACTGGCCTCACCTAGTCTTTGAAGAACACTTCATTTACAAAGATAAGGTATTTTTCCCATTTTTATTTATCTTTTATTTAAAAGTTTACCTGACCATTAAAAACTATGTAAGTACTTTTCGTGTGAAATATTATAAACTAGAAATATGTTTATAGAACATGAATGCCCCACCGAGGGTATATTGGTTATGCAACATGAAAAATTGTATTAGTGTATGAAAGAACACGACCCACAATATGCCTTATTTGGCCTAGTAAATATGAAAAAAATTAAGAGGGCTTCAGAATATATGTTTTTGATAATTCTCACCCTAGAACATTAACACATTTCACATGTACAACATTTTCGTCAAAACCAGATATTTATTATGTCAAACTAAATTTTAACCTCACCGTGGTTCGAGGTTTTCCGGGAAAATGCCAAATTTTACACAATTAATCGTGATTTACACATACAGCACACTCGTTAGCGCAAAATATTAAAACAGGAAAAGAATAATACCTATTCGAGAAACATTTTCCAATAAAAATATTTTGCGGTAACGAGTGTGCTCATGTTGAAAAAAAAAAAATAAAATGCAATTTCAGTGCGTGTGAAAAATGCTATGGCCACGATCCATCATATGCGTGTTCGTGTTTTACACAAACTTATAGGATCGATTCATGAGGTGTATATATATTGATAATGTAAGTGGAAACGCACTCATATCCCACATGTAAAATAATTGTTAAATGAGACGTCATTAGGCATATCAGACGATTGGAATATATGCTGGTTTTAAAAAGCGTTAAAAATGCCGATTTATCAACAATTTTTTCCCAAAAGTTAGATGGGGTCACGGGCAAGAACAACTTTCATACTTACTATATGTATAAATACCACAAATACAAATCTTTCTGTCAATTATTAGCGTTGTTTGTGCTTTGACAAATACGAAATTTGACATTACTTTTGAATTTTGATGCTTTCAAAAATCCGGTAATTTCAATAGCAATTGCTAATGGGTGGCTCATATTACACTAAAGATCCATAGATAAGACACAAGGCGATAGAAAAGCAGTCGATTGTTCGTTTTTAACTTTTAAGACACTAAATGGGGTAAAGAATCTAAAAATTACATTTTCTGAAATCATATTTGGAAAAAAGCATGGGTGTATATTATGATTATGTATCTTGTACATGACGTTACTCGTTATACGTCATTTTTGACGTCATAGAAGATACTTGCAATCAATATTGCGGTTAAGGATGGATTCTTGTCAGCATTTTACGTCGTCAATGGGTCTCCATAAATTATGCAAGTCGTAAAATGCAAAATTCATATTTAATTATACTGAAGGAAAAACTATTAGTTAATTTGTCAGTTTAAGTAATGTTGAATCTATTTCTTTTGAAATTAATAAATTTTTCGTAATATTTTCTTTGATTTGCGACAATCGCCATAATATTCGCAGTTCGGTAGCGAATGTCAACATGTCCAGATCATTTTCCGTAGAAAACCCCGAGAGGGTTATTTTGTAAAATCTACAAACTGTGAACATTATCGAAGCATTGCAGAAGCCCAGGGACAGTTATGACAAATTAAATCATAGTTATTTATGCCCGGGAAATTCCGATCAGCCAAAAGGGAAGCTTGAACTTGAAATTCACAAACATGTGCAAGATTGCAGATCCACGTTGCCTCGTCTGAAGTCATGTCGTGTGCAGTGAGCATGTAAGTTAGTTATATATGTCTGAAGATTTTTATAATTTTGAAATTGAATTCAATTACATGCTGGTTTGTATTGATTTATGGGAATTCGCACGGAAATTATAGTCCTGTTATCAATATTTCGTCTGCTTATTCCCGCGACTTGTCAACATTTGAAGAGGATATATTTCGTGTGTTCGCCAGGTTTATGAATTATAATTCACAAAAATAGCATTTTTTGTATATGATTACAACAAATTTTATATTTTTAACTAGCCTACTTTGTTCAAGACACAACAATCATCAAGTTATTAGAAAAGTAAGGTGTCCCGCTTGGGTACAAATCAAACGGAAAAATAACTTGATATTGTACATGTGGAAATATCAATAATATTGAAACACACAATTGTCTAATAAATAGAGCAAAATGAAACATTATTGTTAAAAAACTATTTATATTATTGTTTTTTTTTTTTACTTTTCTGTACTTTTAGGATAAAAAAATGTCTATTTATTTATATCCAATACATTATAATATAAGACATTATGCATATGGTAGAATCTATTAGAATATCTTCATTCATTTAAATCAATGAATGAAATACAGATGAGATAAGTTGTTTAATCCTATAATCAATTTCCATTAATTTAAAAAAATAGTCTAAGGGATGTTCATGTTTAATTCTTAGGAGAAAATCAACCCTACTTTACCCTAGACTAGAAAAAAGACTGGAGGTCAGAATGCAGGATGATTGAGCAAGGAGTGCTGGCAGATGGACTACTGAGGTACATGTATAAGAAATATGGACACAACTTTATCTAACTATCATGTAATGCAGCATCTGTGTTGCTATGTAAAATATATTACTTTTTTTTTTAAATTATAGGTCAACAAAAAATTTGGACTTTCATCAGGTGGACACATGTTCAGCAAGAAATTCTCACTTCAAATGAATGATGGCTGTGTGTGGAAAAGAGATTTTCTCAGAATATATCACAGATCAGAAGCAGGAATTACATATAATTTATCTGATCAAAGAAATGTTTTTGTAGAAATGTGGAAGTCAGTGCATGTTATCATAGTCACTGCTGCTTGTTGCATGATTCCATTCTTGATTTTTTTCAGAAACTTTCAGTCAAAAATAGTTTTATTTATAATTATACAATGTTTAATTATTTGATTCCCAAGTACCCGATACAGTGCACACTTTGTAGAATGTGATTACTTTACAAAATCTTTGATTCAGATTTGAAATCTTACTCCCAGAGTGAATTTTTCAAGCATTATCTTTCATTAGATTACAATGTGAAGATTTACATGTACTGGCATTACAACAACTTGTAAATGATATATACCTAGCTCTATGTATTCAGTTGCTTTACATTTTCAAATACAGTTAAAATCTTAAAATACAGTTCTGGAATACATAAAAATGTGCCTGCTTTAGATCATTTAGTTAAAGGGTGATTTTTAGCAAGAGCATGCCGAACAAAATTGCTGGTAGTGGCCGGGTTAAAATTTAGATTTTTACAAATGAACTACATACATGTACTTGCAGTAGAAACCCTCAAGAGGTAATTTTTAAGTTATTGACACGGATCAGTAAATGTTTGTGCTACAAATTCTTAAAAAGAAATTTCATCCTTGAATAAGTATTTTGCATCTAAATGTGAAATTAAGTTTGATAGCTGCATGCATATTATTGTTACAAAGTTCAAGGATGTCATTTTCAGGCAAAGATGTCAAAGGGCATATGATTGTCATAGATGGTTTTTTTTGTTATCTTAAAACTCCAGCAAATTTTACGCAATATTTACGAAATATATTTATTGTTGCTGAACAAACTATATACTTATAAATGTGTGTAGGTATTTATTGTCCCTCGCTTTCGCGAAAGAGAGGGGACATTAAATCTCATTCATCTGTCGGGCTGTCTGTCACAAAAACTTTAACCTTGGCCATAACTTTTGAGAGAGAAGAGATTGGGCTTTTGTATTTCACATGTACATTACCTGTAACAAGACCTTTCCAAATATACTGTGAATTTTGACCCCGTGGCCTTGGCCTTGAAGTTTGACCTACTTTTCAAAAAATTAACATTACCTTAAATTGGTCATAACTTTTGTATGAGAAAAGATAGGACTTTCATATTATGCCTGTTTATTAACATTACCTTAAATTGGTCATAACTTTTGAATGAGAAAAGATAGGACTTTCATATTATGCCTGTTTATTACCTGTGACAAGACCTTTTGAAATTATACTATGACTTTTGACCCCGTGACCTTGACCTTGAAGTATGACCTACTTTTTAGAAAATTAACATTTCTTTAAATTGGTCATTAAATTTAAATGAGAAAAGATAGGGCTTTCATATTAAATATGAACATTACCTGTAAGAATACCTTTCCAAGTGTACTATGATTTTTGACCCCATGACCATTACCTTGAAGTTTGACCTACTTTTCAAAATTTTTATCTTTGCTTATAACTTTTGATTTAGAATAGTTAGGGCTTTCATATTTTACATGTGCATTAGTAGTGACAAAGTGTTTCCAAGCATGCTATAATTTTTGACCCCTTTACCTTGACCTTCATGTTTGACCTAAATTTCAAAAATTTTATATTTGGTGATTACTTTTGAATGACATATGATAGGGTGTTCATATTTGACAAGTGCATTACCTGTGTCAAAATGTTTCTGAATATGCTATGATATTTGACCCCGTGACCTTGACCTTCCAGTTTGACCTAATTTTCAAACATTTCATCAGTTTGCTAACTTTTGAAGGAGCAAAGATAGGGCATTCATATTTGACAAGTGCATTACCTGTGACAAGCATTTCCAAATGTACAAAGATTTTTAATCCCATGACCTTGACCTTGAAGTTTGACCTAATTTTTAAAAAGTTTATCATTGCTAATAACATTTGATTGAGAGAAGAGATGGTATTTACATTTGACATGTGCATTA